TATTTCAAAGATAGCATTGTTTATATATTTAATTTTTTTTACTTTTATAAAAGGGAGGTTACTGGTAAGTTAAAGGAAATAAGTGTAAATTTTCCTATTTGGATGGTAAAAATTGGAGGGATTTGTTTTTTTGTTTTTTTTTTTTAATGAGTGATGAACTCAGTTTAGTCATATCCTGAAAAATGCCTTTTTTTCAGTCTTGGAAATACAGTTGATATAAGTATTGAAGTTGAGTTTGCTATTTTCCTATTATATATAAAATTATTATTTCCATTATCAGTATATTTTAGTTAATGAGACATCTGTTATCTTTCCTTGCATTTTTTATGCTATTTATTCTCTGTGATAGATTTTTAAGATCTTTGTATTGTCTTTGAAATTTTGAGAACTTTTTAAAATGTGAATCTGTGTCTGAATTTTTATCTATCTGGTTTTGTGGTTGGGAAAAAAATACTCTATATGGTATTTTTTTCCTGAAGTATGAAAAAAAAATCAGCCAGTATCTTGCAGTTCATCTGGAGTTCCTATTAGATATTGTTGCACTTTCTCATTTTATTATTCTATTAACTTTATATATCTTAGTATACTGTGCTCATTCTGAAAAAAAAAATCATCAGATATAAGTTAGTATATTAATATTCTATTAGGTCATTTATATTTTCTACAGAAAGCTTTCATTGAAGTTTTTTAAATTTGAAAACTATTTTTCCGTGTTTCAAATGGTTATTTTCAAAATCTATTTATTTTTACTTCTTACTTTTGGTTTCTGTTTTGTCCATTTTCCTTTGTACTTATTTTAAAAATGGTTATTTTATATTTTTTTGTATTACACTATGAAAATTTTAGAATTCTATCCTGATTGTGATGTTCACTCATTCTTTGTCATACTGGATTACGCTTGTATGAGGCTTTATTAGTCATTCAGTTAAAAATTTAATTTTTTTCTAATGGGCCTTCTGTGTCCTGGTTCAGACATGTATCTACTAATTTATATAAGTTACATTTTACAAAATGCATACATGGTGAACAGGATGAGATTAAGTCCTTAGTTATATATGCCTAGGCCTATTGTGTTGACTTGTCACAGTAGAGCAATCTTGTTTATTTCATGTAGGTTCCTGGTCAAACTATTTGCTTGGGGGTACAATTTTCTTATTGCTTCACCAAGGAGAAAGCAGTTCTCCTGGGGTCCACAGTTTATGTGAAATTTTAATTTCAGCTCTCTAACTTGTTTCTACCCAATCTCTAACTATTAGAGATTTGTTTAGGGACTGTCCTATCCATGACATCAGTTCTTTTTCTCCTCTGCCTTAGAGTTCTCCTTCCTTTGTTACCCTTGGGTTTTCAGTTTTTCACTTGTTGCTAATCAAGATATTTGGAAATGTTTATGATATATATTTTAATGTGTACATGAATGGGAGTTAGAGACTGCCTCATCACAATCAAAATTGTTGATATGCAATTAATTGGTCTTTGAAATTTGACAATATTAAGAAGGATGGCTATTCAGAATTTATTACTGTAGGACCTAAAGTAATTGTTTGTCTGCCCTCATATCCCCTTCTAGTAGAACTTCTTACTGGGATCTTCAAAATATTTTTCCATTTATTTTGTGCATTTCTACCTGCTTCACATCTAGTATCTTCAACTAAGTCATTTCCTTTCAATACCACAATTCTCAAAAGTGCATTGTTCTTATACTGACTTTTATTGAATTTAAATGAGTAGTACAACTTAATCTGTATGCAAGTGATTTTTTGAGACAGACAGAATAACAGAGCAATAGATTTATTTGGATGTATCCTAGAATAGGACACTTAGTCACTGAAAAATATAATTAAGAAAAATCACAGGATCAGAAATTAAGCCTTTTAAAGTCTCAGTTAGGAGGGAGTTGCCTCCATAATGGACATAGTGCAGTTGCCCTAACATTGCTTAAGTCTAGTTATATGGATTAGATTTCTCAAGCAATTCAGCTATATCTAATATGTAAATTTATGCATTTCCTTGTACTTTCCATTTCATGTCCTCTTCCATTAAAATGCATTTCCATGTCCTTTCCATTTCAGAAAATGGAAAGCCTTAACAGAGTTAAATAAGTGGATCAATTTGATTTTAGTGCATGGTTGACAAGAGTAAGAATCAATAAGATTAAAATAAGTAAGACCATCGGTTACAAAAAACTTGGGGATAAAAACATATAGAAAAATAGAATACTTACTGGTTGACTGATAAAGTTAATGGGCCTGAATACTCTGCCTTACCTCTAAAGTAAAATCTCTATGACAACAGGAGCCTAAACACAGGATTTGAAAGAGTTGTTGCATAGGATGTGTTTAACAAAACTTTTGCAGAGTAAATTATTTAAAAAAAAAAAAAACACTGAGCTTAGACTACAGGATGGACAAGATTTGCTTTGTCAAGGGAGCGAGTAGGTGACAGGGAATATTGATTAGAAACCTAAGTGTAGGGGGCATCAAACAAGTTTACATGTGGAGATAACTAGTAATAGAGTATCAGTCAGGCAAATTTGTTTTTAATTTTTTTATTAAGTATTGTTTTACATCTGTTAATATTTTGGTCATCATTTCTCTCCCACCACCAAAGCACACAGGTCCTCTATCACATCTGTTGTGCTCTCGACTTCTTCCTTCTCATCCACTCCCATTTTAGATATAGTCTGGGAATTGTGAAAGTGCCCAGGAAAAAAGGGAAACAAACGCATTTGGGAAATTCACAAGTGCAAAGCATAGCTCTAAATCCAGGTTGTCTTAATAGCTTTTGAACAAGAACTAGTTTGACTTAATTCAATGTAAGAATTGACTATTCCTCTAGTCAGACCCTTCTTTGCTGTCAACACTGCATTTGTTTCTTAAAAATTAAAGGAAAAAGGGATGGTTTCACATTGAAAATCCGTTTCACTACTTTCTTCAATGAAAAATTCCTGAGTGAAATTTTCAAAGGAATTTTAAGAACTGTCATGATGACTTTTCCTGACCTAACCCAAAATAGTAATAGAGATTCTAGAAACTTTCCTTGTACACATTTTAGGGAAAATTGAAATTAAGAAAGAATTAAGGGTCCTTTTTCCAGTATGACTTTTAACTTTTTTCTTCTTATACAGAACATCAGCCTGCTAGTGAACTTTAGAACAAATCAAGAGATGCTATATAGTTAGGATATATAATTTAAAAACTTTGTGAAAATGAAGATCCAAATGTGAAAATAATAATTTTAGAAATCATGAATTTAACACTTATTAAAATTACAGAGACCATTTGTTATTTGCAACTATGGGAATTTTTAACTTATTAGATTTAAGATATCCACAACATCCATACTAGAGAATTTACTATTTCAAAGTACCAAAGTCTCACATGAAAAGAGAAATAAACATTCTGAGATCCATTTTAAAGTCTTAGGAAATATAAATACATATGAAAATCAAAATTTAATTTCAAAATTTAAACTTGTGCTGTTATATGTGTCTATAATTTTATAGTGTTTTCCTCTCAACTGCTATTTTCCTTTTCACGTGTGAACTGGTAGATCTTCTGTGTTGGAATGCATAATTATCTGATAGACACATTTAAAATGCTAGCTCTAGAGCCCACTCCCAAAGATTCTGATTTAAATAAGTCTGGCATGGAACTTAGCAAGAGCTATTTTTGTATCTTGGCTTAAGGGCACATTTTGAGATGTTTCTCAAAATATTTGCTGAATAAAAGATGAAATTATTCCTAAAGCTTCAGAGTGGAAGTGAACTAAATGGAAATATTTTAAAAACTTTAAAAAATGGTAAGAACGGTACTGCCAGAACCTGGGAACATACCATTCATTATCAATTAATCCAATGGCCATTAAACATTAGTGCTATCACAGTTGTTTCCTAGGGGATTTTTGGGAACCATTTAGTTTTCTTTAATAATCCATGTTAAAAAAAAATTAGAAAATGAAAAAAAAATCAATAACACAGGCAATACTTTATTGTACTATGCTACATGGTAGATTGGAAAAACTGAAATAGTTTATTTCTAAGAGGTTGATGACTACAACACAATCAAAGCTTATGGTCACATTTATATAAAAATCTTGGTGTATTTATAGGATTATATGAGTAATTTTAGAAACATAACAGTTCTTCAAGGTGAAAATAGTAATAGACTCTTTCAAACAGACTCACTCTGTAACATTATTTTTCCCCTAATAAAGAGAAATAATGTGGAAGTCAATTCCTTCCTTAGAAATCCTACACTTCAGAAACATGGGACTTCAAAATAATAATTAGCAAGCTAATTTAATCACCACCAATTTATTTCATGAATTGTGTTTATGTCTAGTGAAAGTTATGTTAGAAATGACTTAGACCAAAGAAGCAATTTGATTGGTTAATGAAGAGTCTGAGAGTGATAATTGAATTTGATGGAATTCATTAGCTAAGACAGTGAAGCAGCTACTTTACATATGTAATACTCACAATGTGATGTATGGACTTCATTGTTAAATTAGGTTTCTATGTAGGAATAAGACCTAATAGGACACAAAGAAACACCAGCCTGAGACAAACGGTGCTGCTGCTCTTACCCTTTAGCCAATATTCTTGCTAAAATATCATCTGTACAGTGAGGCACAAGGCTCAGAGGCAGCTGCTGTGGCATATTCTTTTAGAATGCAAGGCTGCTCAAGATCATCGACAGATAATGAACCATGACAAGTTTGAATTTGATGAAGTACAAAATAAAAGTGGGAGAAAGCAAAACTTATAGAAGAGGCCAGTGTACCATCAAGTAAATTAGTGCTTCAAGGACATCAATACTAGTAATAACAATATTACCTTTGATATCATAAAACCTTTTTTTTAAGAGATACAGTCCTCCAGTCATCCACACAAATACTCCCTTCCACATCACTGTGCATTTGCGTATGTGTTCAAATACCTATGTGGAATAGTGGGGAAGGGCGGATCATCAAATCTATCAAAAATTTTATATTCCAAATACCTTAGAGTTGAGCTGCAATTTCCACAATGAAGCAATAAGCAAATGAGCTGTCTTTCGATTTGAATCTGACGTTTTTTCACTCAAACGCTTGCTAGTTCTTGGTTTCCTGTTTGTCCCTAGAGAGAGAGAAAAGAGTAGAAATAATCCATGAAAAGGCTGGCTTGTCACTCAGCACTTGCCTTTACTCGTGACTGAGTCTATAGACTTCTGCTTAGGTAGCCCATTTATTATTCACACTCTGCTTTCGCTTCCTCAATTCCTGGTTGTGCTAGGTGCTCCAGGCTAAGAACCAATAGGTATGAATTATGCTGACATTAAAGAATTCTGGAAGAATGTTCCACTAAAATGAGTTTTTCCTATTTCTTCTGTCATGTACTGTATAGCGGATCGGTCTATAGAGGAGAAATAGCATGAGCTGCCACAGAAGGCACCCAGTGGAATTATCAACCACAGGGAATTATCTCTAAGCAATTCACACTTTGTTTTGCTAACAAGACTCCTTGTTAGGATACTTGAGTGCCATCCGTCTTTGCAACGTTCCCCCACCTTTCAGCATTATTGAAAAGCTAACTGAGTCTATTTTGATTTGTGAATCTCTTTGTAAGCAACAGCAGCTGCAGCAGTACTAATAAAAAGGAAAGGCATTGCTATTTACCTAGGAAGGATGTTTAAATACTACAATACAAAAATATCTGTGTTGTGGACAGGCTCCATCAAATATGTTAAGTTTCCTTCCTCCTTTGCTTCCTTTGTCTTTTCTTCCTCTCCCCTTTTCTATCCATTATTATTATTTTTTCTTCTTCAATTATTTCTGCCTTCCTTAGCACCCTGTTGCATTTACTTACTGGTTAATGTAGAATAACCCACTCTCTCCTACTTGAGGTTTTAAAATAATGATTTTAGAATGTGAAATCTCAAAACAGAGTAAAGTAGGGTGATCCTTTCACAAGTATAGAAATAGAGGTAAGGAGCTGTGGAGTTATCAGCTGAGTCCTGTAGTTGCAATTAAGACAGGAGGCTTTGCAGATTTCAGTGACTCTGATACCAATCAGACAATTCTACTCTCTTTACTGTTTGGTTTTCAATTCTCTAGTGGAAGTTAACATGGCAACACCCTGTTATTTGACGATTCAAGTTTTCCTACTACAACACAAATGAATACACAATCCCCTGCAGTTCTCATTATATTCCGAATAGAATTTTATAGTTCCTCTGCAGTTATAAAGGAGTCCTATTTGTCAGCTAATGCATCTGTTCCCCATCATTCTGGAATAAATCCACGTCGGAAAATCTGAGAGTTTACCAGGTTTGGGAAAACCTCAGTTCCAGGTTTAAAGGAACAGATGCTACAGAAGAGAGTGTCATTCCCTGAGTGGCTACTGAGCTCCATTTTGCCCTGCGCTGTTAGACAAGGGATGGTTAAATCTTGTCTGTTTCCATTTAGAAAATTAATATGTTATCTGTCATTCATTAAATGATTATTAATTGAGTATATGTTGCAGACCTTTTTATTGCCAGGTTTTATAGATTAAGAAGATTAAAAGATAGTTTTATGTTTCTAAAAGAGAGAGACAGATACAGAAATAGAATACTACTGTAAAGTGATAAATGACCAGTGGAGATTTAGGATATGTTAAGCCATGAAAAAGGATTCTTCTATTTGTGAAGGAAGTAGAAGATGTCAGTACAGTGTTTACATGCATATCTGTGTACCCTTTAAATGTGACTTGAGGTTATAAAGGGAAGCCTGAAGCTATTGCTATCTAGAATTATTTAATGGTTTACATAATGACAATCTTTTTTTTTTTTTCAATAGTGATTTCAAGCGCAAATTAGTTGTTCCCTCCAGGAAGCATTTAAAACCTCTTTCCCATGGCTACATGTCTCGGAAAGTATCTGATTCCTCAGAGAGTACATCCACCAGAGTCATTTTCTACACGATGGAGAAAATACATGAGTTGTTAATATACACCCATTCTGGAAGCCAAACAGCAAAGATTAAAAAGCATCTGTCATTGGGACTGTGAGTCTACACACAAGCAGTAGACTTCCAGCAAAGAATAGGACAGGAACATTTTGTAACTTAGATTTGAAAACATAAGAACTGAACTCGAATCATTTGCTCATTTACAGGTTGTGAAAGGATATTAACAACTCTCAGAAAGAGCCTACTATGCTGTCTGTTACATAAAACCATGTTTTGTAATTCAAACTTATTTTTTGATGGAAATCCATGTTGAATTCTCTGAGAAACAATTTTCTAAATGCATAAGGTGCGAGACACTGAAATTTCATTAGCCAAAAAAAAAAAAAAAGACCTGCTTTCAGCACCACCTCCTCTTATCTGACAAGGTTTGCAAACTATCAAAAGAAATAATGAATACATACACACAAAAAACAGTTATTACATAATGTAAGCCACAATAAGTTAGCAAAAGGACAGAAAAACATGCTAGGGAAAAGAGATCAATGATATAGTCTCCAAAGTTGCCATGCATGCAGAAATCACTTTGAAATTTGTTGGATTTAGAGAGTAAAAGGTTTCCTTCCATGGTAAGGCAATGTGTATGTGAGGTCCCAAGGCAGAAAGGACTTTTATGTGCTTGAGAAACAACAAAAGCAAGGTCAATATGGCTGAAAAATAGATGGGCATTAGGGCCAGGGGTGGGCAGGAATTTTCTCCTGCTTAGGGTTCTAGGTAAAGGACCAAGAGAAAGCACTGAAGGACCCTTGGGTTACTCTTGGAATAATGAATCAGGTGGTAAAATTCATAGTGGTCTTTAGAAAGTTTTTTTCTCTCTTATCAGGAATAAAATTGATCTTCTTGATTAAAAAGTCAATCTTCTCCCTTCCTGTCTGATACTGGTTGATTTTTGTTGTTGTTGTTATAATTAATGCTCTATTATTCTTCATAGTACCTACCATGTTTTTCTGCTAACACTACTATTCTTATTCAGAAATTTTTTAGTATCTGATTTTTTCCCCTTGGCTTCCTGATATCTGTATGGGGCCTAGGTATCATTTGGTATAGAATAATAGTTCCACAAATACATCTTGAATGTATAAATGAATGGGCGATTTTGGAAATTATAGCATATTAGAATAACACTGTGCTTCTACCACATTTGTCTTTAGAATGACAGGTTGATAAAAAAAAAACATATTAATGAAAGCAATCTGGTTAATTTGTGAAACAACTAAATGCCCAAAGACAGATTAGTGGGTTAGGAAGATGTATTATAAATGCAAAATGGAGTAATACTCAGCTGCAAAAAATTAAACTTTTGTGACAATAAAATGGAGAATGCTGAGCAAGAGAAGTCAGAAGGAGAAAGACAAATACTGCACGGTGCTGCTTATATGTGGAATCTAGAAAAACAAAAGAAAGGGTCAGACAAAAACAAACCCTACAATTCTGACTAAAATTGAAGCCTCCAGAAGGGGAGAGGAAGGTGAGGGGGAGGCACAGTGGGCTAAATTGGAGGACAGTGGATATATTGGTGGTTGAGGTGTGGCCACATACACTTGAGGGGTGTGATTCTAGACCTCTGAATCAGACAGAGTGTTTTAACCAATGTTACACATTAAATAAAAATAAAACACCCACCAACATTGTCAAGCAAATGCACATAAAAGAAGAAGTTAACCTGGTAGAAAAACTATTTAGTTCTAACCAATGTACTGCTTTTAGACTGTAAATTTAGTCAAGTGAGAGACAGTCATTTTTGAGCAAATTCTTTATTATCAGTTTAGAAATGGGTATTAATGTAGGCTCTGACACCTTGTATTTGACAGAGGTTCTTAAAGATATGTGTATATATATGGCCATATATATGCCATAAACCAAGTTGCTGTACATTAAAATATACTTTTCTGACACAGGTACGGGTTCATAAAAATTCAGAAGTCTAATGCTATTTCCACAGAGTGGGATATTTAATTTATCAATAGTTATCTATCTATTCTATCTATACACACACACACACACACACACACACACACACACACTATTATTTTGGGGGATTAGATATACATTTTATAATATACCAATTAGTTTATATAATTTGGAGAAATGTGCTTAAGAAATGATTTTCCAAGAAAAACTGCCAAAGGTTATTTGCTTATGGTGCCTTTAAATTCAACTTATATGTGTTCATTTTTCTTTTTTGATACAATTTTTAAATGGCTAATTTGAATATTACCTTAATGTAAAATAACTTATAGCTGTCAGTATAAGTTAGAAGAGTCAGTGAACTCTGATAAAGAAAATATTAATTTATGATAAATTACCACAGGTTTTGACCTAATGGGCAAGCAGATCAGAAAGAAAGTACCAGAAAATGGCAAAAATATATTATTAGAATACTCTAATAATTACATTGGAATATTTCATGTTTGAAGATACCCCATAGGCTACTGTATAAGAAACATCTTGGTTCAAATGTGCAAAGTCAAAAAGTGGGGGATAAAGAAGTAGATCTATGCTTTTACTTGCACTATTCTATTTAGGGCAAAATATTTTCAAAATATTGTAAAAACACAGAATGCAAAAATATTTGGGGAATTACCTAGTTCTTGGCTTTATTATATATGATAAGGCCTATCATGCCAATAACTGTTCCAACCCTGGAAGAATATATAAAACTTAGTGCATTTATAAATGTGTACATTTTCATCAGCTATCCAAAGGGACCAATGAGTCTCCTCCTAGAAAAATGTATAGTAATGGAAGTTCCTTTGCCCAAGGTCTCACAGCTTATTAGTAGTATAGTTGAAGTTAACATTCATGCTTTTTAGGTCTTAGCCCAGCAAGTAATAAGTGCCTTTTTCATCATAGTCTTCATACTTCCTGCTATAATACATGGTCCAAATGAAACAGCATAGCTCTTACTTCCCCCTAGAAATATGATGGTAATGCAGCATGACACAGAAAAATAAATTCTTATTTTATTACTAAGATTTGTTGGAGTAATTTTTTAGCAGAAAGGAAGAAATCCTTTACTACATTTATTGCTGTAAGACAAAAGCCAGAAACATCATATATATATATATATTTCTTTATGAATTGTGAGAAAAAAAGTGAATTAGAAGAGCTTGGTTCTCCTTTCTGATTTCA